CCCCCCCCGCCCCTTGCTTATCTTTGTGTCTCTGTCTCTCGGTTTTCTCTTTGGCACAACTGCCGCGCAAAAAGTGAGTTTTGCTTGACCGGACAAAATTTACGAGGAGGCAGCTCTGTCGGTAGCTTACCGGTCACTGTCCTTCTGTTACCCTTTGATGTCTTTGCTCCGTGCCTTGTACAGTTCTACAGTGCTCCGCCATGTTTTCATGCGCATTTGTCTTCGTCGTTGGCCACTATTTTCTTGTCATCTATATATCACGCCACCCACAGGTCAAGACCAGACGCAGAAAGGGTCTAAGCGAGGACGTTTCGATCAACAAGTTCTTCGACGACCCCATGCTCATGGAGCTGGCCAGGCAACAGGCAGAGATGGGGGCAGGGGGCATGATGTGATGCGGTCGCTTCTAGAGAGAGAGAGAGAGAGAGAGGCGCCGACAAACCTGTTCGGTGGTACTGCTCTTTTTGGTGTTTGAAATACACAGCGGCGACGGGTTTTGTACGAAGGAAAAACTTGTAACTTTTGAGTAGAACCGAAACAAGCCGCATTTTAGTAGGGCTGATCTTATGGAGGAGGGGAAGTGGCGCGATGTTGAGCCCAAGCAGGGCGATGATGCTGTAGTCGAACGAGGATGTTCCTGACAGTCGTAGTATCCGAGGTAATGCCGGACTGAGAGCGTTCGGTCCCTCTGGGTGTATACGGCCGGCGGAATGGGAGGGCCATGGGGTGATCATTTGTTGCTTGCCGCTTGCTCTTGGCGCTATGGACCATGGGCCATGCACCCCGTTCGAGACGGACAAGGGGTGGGTGGCGCGTAGGGGGGGTGTACTCACGCAGACGCATACGCAGTCGTTAGACCATCATTGGTCTCGCAGCATCCTTACAAACCGGTGACGGAGCGGTGGCGCGTAGGAGCTCCCAGAATTGTTCGCCGACGTTGCAAGTTCACGTGGTTTATGTGGGTTTGCGCTTCAGCCGAAGCAAATTAGCACGTAAGGCCAAGGGTGATACGGAATGACGAGGTCGACTGGAGGTCCAATATCACAGCAGTATCGCCACCAGGCCGTAATTGGACGTGTTCTCTTTGGCGTTGTGTTGTTGGCGGCTGCTGAACCGAGGTAGGAAAACGACGATCTCCCGTAGAGTCCATGGCGTTGATACATCAGGCGCATGATGGTGCGTGGTGGAGGGACGGGAGGCGCCGTGTGTCACTACGAAGTTCGGGTGGGTTTGTCGGATCGCGACGAGATCATTTTCTTCGGCCGCGTTTTCGCTTTTATTTGCCAACAAAGGGGTTCTTGGCTTACTTACATACCATCACAGCACCCACAAACTACACAAGTGAAGACAAACAAACTTGAGATGGATTCACGAGGACTCACGACCGCTTCTCCGCAAGCCCTTACGGAGACGTAAGCCTCGAGATTGATGGAGTAACATAACACAACGGAGACGTTTAACACCGGTGGGAGGTTGCCAACTTGTTTTGAAATGTCTGCATCTATGTGGAGATAGATCCCTTTGAATGGGCACAATCTCCGCTAAGCCCGTCTGTCGAGGAGGAGGACTCCCTCTTTTCACTGCATGCTGGTCCCCACGCGTTCCATCATATCCTAATCTTTCGCATGCACAACAGAAGCACAATCAATCGGCATGACAGATCTTCGCCCCACAGCGTCTCGACAGGAAGGGGCACACAACATGTCGTGGAGGGGAACAAACTGTGTCTCGCGTATCACGGGCGGTGTCACCCAAGCTCTTGATAAGGGAAGGCGAGCCATCTCCCGTGCGATCTGGTCAACAGAATTGGTAGCTCGTGCCGACGTCGAAAGCCAGACGGGCGGTGCGCGTAGCGCGTCCATCGTTATGGTCACGACCAACATGCTCACGATCGGGTCGATCGTCGAAAACAAATATCGCTCCCACAACACGCAAGTCGCGAGCCAAACCGCGACAAGGCTGGACACATCGCAAAGTGTATCACTGGCATTGCGGAGGAACAGCGCATCGATACGTGAGAACGCGTTCTTTCCCCACCCACCCCGGCTATGATGAACACATCCGTTTCATGATTGCAACAATCGGCTCGTGTGGCTGGTCAAACTACTGTATCAAATCTAACTTGATCGAACCAACTTTTCCGGTTTGTTACCGGGTACATCAGTCCTCCTGCTCAAAAAGTCGAGGACGATTTTTCTCTCCGCGATATCCACGGGTCGTGCTATAAAGCCTTTCTTCTCTACGAGCTATCCTCCCACAAGGCTGTTTGGCTGTTCGCCATTCTGGCTGTTTGCTTCACAGCAGCATGGTGTCCATCCATCGCTCAAGAGCGCTTTCCTCGAGTCGGCCGTCCGGTTACTTGTCCTTCTTGTCAGCGGCGTCGTGTTCTTCCCCGTCGACCTCCTCCGTGTCTTCGTCGTACGCCACGAGAGCCTTCACCTCTGCGATCGGACGACAACAAACCACGACAGGGCGGGTCGGCGCCGGGCAATGATGACATGGGGTGCGGCTATCTAAACCAAATTAGGTCAAGCAACACCAACCTCCTAGAGGCGAACGGGTAATAGTCTGGTGTCCACGGAGATTCGATATTCTTCAGAAGAAATGACCCATCCATTACTGTTGTATTCAAGCAGAGGTCGGGTAGAGCAGGCCGTCCATCCATGCCGAAACAAAACTAGTACCAACAACAGCAACAGCCGCAACAGACCGCCCATCATTGCCGAAACAAACAACACCAGCGCCAACAATAGCAGCACCATCAGCACCGTCAGCACCATCACCGCCACCAACAACAACAACAACACCGCACACACCTCTGCGCCACAGAGCAGTCATGCCGGTGGCCCCGAGGCATGCCGGGACGAGGTAAAAGAGCGCCGGCTGCGCCGCCTTGAAGTAGAACATCACTGTCACCGTCGCCGCCAACCCGCCAATGTAAGCAACGAGGCACGCGTGGAAGTAGGGCTGACAGCATCGCGTAAACCATCGGCACGGTGTCGTTGGTGTTTGCGAGACCAGCCAGCGGTTCGGGGGGCGGAGGGTATGGGGAGGGCGAGTGTGACAAACGTGGTAAACCGCGAGGCTCTTCATTACACAGCGAGGTGGGTGTGACGCACTAAGGCAGAATACCGACTGACCGCCGAAATGCTCCTGCTGTCAAGCCCATGGCGTACCGACAAAGCATGACAGCCATGGCCAAGACCGGAAAGCACCCGAGAGAGATGAAGAAACAAGCGCACGCCTCGGCGGCGCCAGGAACAAACGAAGAGTCCCGGTCCACTTGTTTTGTGAAGGCTCGGGGGCAGGAATGGGTAAGCGGCCTTGTGACATCAACAAGCTTGGTCATACATGAATCGGTGCCTGTCAGTGAAAGAGACGAGGCTATTTTTCACAGATCTGACGGGATCGCCTCCGAGATAAACAACGAGATACCAGCAGGAAAAGGGTACAACACTACAATAGGGCGGCGAGAGGGATGCGTAGAACAGCCCACCACGCAGTTTACCTTGTTGGACAATGGTGGAGACCTAGTCTCCCTACTTTCTGCCGCACCTTGTTTAGGAAGCCGGTAGAGCAGTGCTCTTGGGGAGGGGAAAGCGGGTGCCCAACCGCACAAAACAAAACAAAACCTTTACTACCCGACACCTTCGGGAGGATATGCCAAGACAACGCGCAAACAGAGAAGGAAAGGCGTGGGCCAATCACTACCTTCGGTGCCGTCTCTCTTTCCCTGTCCTCGTGCTACAGTCTTACCTTCGGGAAGCTGCCGTGCTCCGCGTGGGAAGGGTCCGCGTTCGCCCTCACCGCGTCGAACCTGATCAGCAGCGCCGAGAACAGGCCTGCACGACACACCAACACACACACACACACAGAGAGAGAGAGAGAGAGAGAGAGAGAGAGAGAGAGAAGGGCGCGGATGAACGTACTCAGCGAAACTTAGGTACTAATTAGCACATGGGCAGCCCTCAGATGTCAACGGCCCTGGCACGAGGAAAAGAACGAGTCGAGCGTCCCCAGCTTCCGTCGCTGTCATTGGCAACCACTGGCCACACCTAGGTCTGCGCAGCTGGCCACACCTAGGTCTCCGCAGCTGCTGCCTTCCAGGACACACAGACCCCAACCGTCTCGAAGCTGTACAACGAGGGTTCAATGCACTGTGTACGGCGGTACCCCCTACCGTACCCCCCCCCAAACAAAGTAGCCCGAAAGTATTCCATCAAAGACCACCAGAGACACGGAGCTCGTTCGCCGCAACGAAACATGCACGCCAACCGGAAGGCTCCAATAGAACCATGAGAACCACTCCAACATGATCACATCATCACCGGACCCATCATCCACGGGGAGACCGCGGCAAGTGCGGAAAGCCCCCTGCCAATCGCGTGCCAGCCAGCTGTCATACACAAGCCTTGCACCTCTTCTTGCCGTTTTTCTGTGCTCCATCTCTCTGCCCCTGTCTCATCTTGGGAGGAGAACTTTTCGTCGCCTCAAGTCAGAGAGGATCGACAACCGACGGGGGGTCCCGCAGCCTTTTTCTTTTGTTCATCGTCCCGCGAACGGGCTACCTGCGGTGACGCAATTTTCCTCAACACCCCGAACAATCGTTCAACGCTCCATCTTTTACGACGAAGAGAACGCATGTGTCTATCAAAGGATATTGAACGTTTTCGGAAACACGCGAGGGCTCCAACGCCGCCGTTTCCGGCGCCGTCCCTGTTTCTGCTGCGGCGTAGCAATCGAGCGTTGAAAATCGGTTCCAAGGGGGGGTGGCATCTTATGCCATGTCACACGGGGCACGTGCCGGCAGCTCCTAAACAACCTTGCTCGGACTTAAAAGTCTTTTCACCATGATCTGCCTCATTCCACACACTGGCTTGCAGAGTAGTGCTGCTAACCGAGCTTTGCACTTGTTCTAACTGGAAGTCACTCCTAGCCCCTTGTCGAGCAACATTTTTTTTTTTTCTCCCATCATTGGACTCTGTCGTCTGCCCCTCTGGCCCCTATCCTCCACTTCTACTAGCTAGACGACCCAACCAGGGTCACATAGGAGGGGGGGGGGGCTGGACCCCCTCCTGCGGTTCCTGCCTGAGGTATTTTTATCGCGAAAAGGGCAACATGAGGAGGTCTGACTGCTCTTGCTTACTACTACACACGCTGCTCGCTCACCGGGCACGACGATGTCGCCGAGACCGAGCAGGCTGGTGGTGAGCTTGACGGGGGGGTCGGCGTCCGGGTTGGCCCACGCGCTCACGAACAAGATCTTGATCGGCCCTTGGACGCTCTTCGCCACCGACTCCATCACGGGGCCCCTGTGGCAACAAAGAGTCGGATCAGGTGGGTGTCTCGCACACTTTTCTACCAAACGAACAGCTTCTTCTCCGGTGGGTACAAGTATATCTTCCTTTGGTTAGTTAAGGTGAGGGGATCGTGGTTCATGCCGAGAATACAATGGTAGAAAGTTAACAACGAGCTGTGGAGGTGGCTCTAGCACACATGGAATAGAGAAAATACCCCCCGCGTCGAGAGGAATGCGCCAACAAACCCGCCGATCGAACACCACGCGGGGATGAACCAACAACACGTCCCCACCGTCCCCCTCAGCTAGATAACTCTGCAACCCTCTGCTCCGCGGCAGGTGAAAAAAAGGGCGACTTCCAATGTCGACCCCGACACTCTTCCCCGATGATTTAGCTCTGTTGATCCTTACCCGTACACCCAGGTGATATCGTAAATGAAGAGCCCCACCAGCAGAATGCCCGCCACCTTTACAGACCCCAGCGACACGCGCTCCATCGCCTTGAGGGCGAGCGACATGGCGGAGCGGGCGCAGCGTGCGGGAGGGGACAGACAGCACAGCACAGAATCGTGTTGAGCGAGAGCAGCGGCGGCGGTGGAGACGTCCCAAGATTAGGAAGGGTATTCTTTTTCAAGGGTGCGAGGACGGTGGACGACCTCAACCGCACACACAGCTCTAACACGTCTACCAAGATGTGATATGTACGCTGTTGCTGTTGCTGCCGCTGCTGGTGTGAGCATTACCACCACCATAACACCAAGGCGACCAAAAACAACAAGAGGCGCTTCTTCAACAACAACGCACACATTCCCCTGAAGGTTGTTGGTCGGCCGGTTGGCACGGTCGATGCTAACTAAATTGACACACACAAAGCACCGCAGGAGGGGTGCATAGAGAAGAACCCTTTTGTGTGACGACGGGTTCGAAAATCCGGCGCGAATACTGCTGTAGGCGCTCATGTGAATGACGAAAAAAACACATACACAAAAACACACACCTGCACGCAGAAGGTCATGCCGAAGATGTTGTTAAGCGCCCAGTGCCTGGTCTTAGCGTAAGCTGCCGCAAACGCCACCCCGATCACGAAGCTCACCAGCTCCGTAGCCGTGAAGGTCAGGTCCACCTCTCCGATCAAGGGCAGCTCAAACTTGGTGCCGTGACGCTTCGCGTCCTGGGACGACAGACAAGGGTCCGGCCAATCGCGTTTCGCGAATAGGGGCATGCAGTTACGGAGGGGGGGGGGAGAACTATGCACTCAATAGTTTTTAAGGTTGGCTGGTTTCGCTGGATAGCGAAGGTGTGTCCGAACACCATCTGGAGGGCGTAAAGAACAGGAGTTCCAAACAGACAGACGGGAGCGACGACAAAAGACCCCCTGTGAATTTCAACTTTTTTCTTCGGCGTTATGTACGTCGGCGTTATGTACGTATAACCCTAGACTATGCCTAGTCATGCACTAACAAATTAACCGGGTACACGGTATCTTGCGATCGAGCTTGTGTTGTCTCTCTCACCGTTGTGCCGAAGATCTGTACGAGGACGGGGTCGACCGTGGCCGCTAGTGCGAAAGACCCGATGAAGGTGAAGTAGGCCAACAGAAGCATATTTACAATCTTGGCGTCCACGTACTGGGTTGTTGCGGCATTGTTGGTATTTTTGCCCGAGCCAGCAGCGGCGTAGTACAGGAAAGACGACACATGACAACAAAAGCGAGGAAACAAGTGCAGGGGCGGCGGAGGCATCACAAATCGCAAGAGAGGAGGCGTACGTTGACGTAAAAGTGGCTTGTTCAGCTCAGAGCACGCCGCGCGGTCAAGGACTTGACCTAACGCCTCCGGGGTGCAACAAAGGTCCCCACAGCAGTCGCATCAACCACAGGATAGCTACATTACACTATCCAGATTCAGAGGTGTTGGTGTGATGATGCCATGTGCCGCATGACCGAGAAATATACCATGTCGTACAATCTGGAGTTCTCCCGAGCAGCAATCACTAAATATGCGGACGAGCAAAAGCCTTACAATGAGCTCTGATTACAATACGCGGTGTAACGTGGGCAAGATATTGCGGAGATTCCGAAGACAGATTGGCGTACTGGTATGCAGTCCACAGAGCTGCAAAAGGGGGGCGCGGGGTGTTTTCTGTTGCACCCTGCTGCGCTCCGCGGCAACATCTCACCTTGAACAAAAAGTATATGGTGACGAGCACCATGCTCCCGACGACGGGCGCCTTCATGGCAGCCTCTTTAGAGAGGGTCTCGGACTGGTGTCGAATCCAGTAAGAAGGAAGGAGAGCGGGAGAGAGAGAGGGAGAGAGAGAGAGAGAGACCGAGACAGAAAAAAGAGAGAGGGGGGGGACAGAGAGTCATGCCGACAAGAGACAGAGACCGACACACTGGGGCACGAGGAGGTAATGCGAGGTTGAGAAACATACGAATGGGTCAAAGATCGCAAAGACTATCTCTTCACATACTACTGCAGCAGGACCACTCCAAGCCATGCACACTTTGATCCATTTTCGGTGCAAGCAGCAAGCAATGGACTCGCACGTGGAGCAAGCGGTGAAAAAGAGGGGCGGCAAGTTGTCGGCATCAAAGTGGAATCGGCAGCGCTCCATGCCCACCCGGAAGATCAATCACCAGATCCCGCAACACCGTACCTCACAGGCCTCGACGCTAGTCTTGTCCCTCAGGCGGAGCGATCGGTGGCTCCCAATGTACAGGATGAGGGTGCTCGTGACGATCAGGTTGACGGGAACAGGCACCTGTATTATTTCACGCAGCAAAAAACCGGCAGCATGCGACAGGCAGCGCGCCAGCAGAGCAGAGCCGGCGTCGCCACCGAGGGTAAGGGTAAGGGGCGCGTCGGCGAAGGTCTTCGGTTGCATGTAGGACGTGCGCCACACTTCCCCAGCCCTACTGCTGTTGTTCGTTCACATCTCCGTCGCGCAGCTGTTGGAGTACGGGTTGAGCCCTTACAAGGACGTGTGCCTCGCTCCGTCTCATCGCGGCTTTCACAAAATTACCTCTCAATTTATGGCGCACGTCCGGCAGCGCCATGGCTTCCACACGGTGACGATGGCTTGCGTGAGGGGCTAGGAAGCAAAGGATACGGACAAGGGCCTGTAACGACCCAGTTTCAGGCCGTTGTCCACACACCTGGCTGTACAGCCCCTCACGCAAGCCGTCGTTGGCGTAGAAATCGTCACGCTACAGGACGTGCGCCAAAAAAAGGAGGGGTCACTTTTTTTGAAAGCGGCGATGAGACGGAGCGAGGCACACAGAATCGGAAGGGTTCAACCCGTACACGGCAACATCTGTGCCACCAGCTAGAGATGAGGGCAAAAGGTGGTCTTGGTCGGGGTTGATGTCGGGAACCCCCACGCGCATAGAACGTCCAGATCTTGAAAGTGGCGACGGGACTCACTCGTACTGTACATAGTGCACCAGACGTGAGGTGACACTCGTCGCCCAGGAATAAGCCCTGGCTCCTCAGGCATGCCTTAGAATTTGCCTGAGAGCCCGTTTTCGAGAGATGGCTGCCTGAGAGGGGTTGTTGCGCTCCTGTTCCTCGCTATGGACGTGCCCACTCCCAAAAGGCTCAGTAGCCCTCCATACCCTGTCGGAGTTGCGTGCCCCGCGAAGGGCCCACAAGATACACGATCTCCCGAAAATCGAAATGCGCATATGTAGGTTTAGAATCCGTGAATGGTAGACGTTCGACGTGTGTGTCGTAGCGCTTGGTCTGCCCTGGCCTTGGACTAAAATGATTTTCAAAACTTTTAACTAAACTTTTGGGCCTCAGAGGCGTCACTGTACACCCCAAATCACGCCACATATATGCACATACCGTAAGGTTGGGGGTCAACTAGAGCACAGGGGTGCGAACGATTTTCGAAGCGTAGTTCCTTCACAACCAGGAGGTAATCCCTATCGAGAAGGGCAGCTGTGGAAATATCTCATCGAGAGCTTTCCTGAGAAGCATCAGTTGGCGCTCGCACTCTCCTGGTTGTGGATACATTTCACGCTTTGAAAATCGATCGCACCCCTGCGCTCTGGCTGACTCCCAACCTTGCGGTATACGGCGGTATCGAATGGTATATTGTCAGGTGTTTCGCCTCTTTCTCTCTGCAGGCTTAGGCTTAGCCAATGGCAATCACACCCTTTACCTACGTGTTGTTATTGTTTTGTTGTTTCTCACACTAGCTCTATAGTCCACAAAAATGGGGAGCCCGTCGTCGAAAAAACCCGGCACATGCGACGCCGCGGGGAAACAAAGCAAAGATAGGGTACTACCACTCGATGGCTCTAGCATTTTTGTGACCACGGACCGAGTCTTTGCTAGATTTTGGGATTAGCAACTGACACGAGTTTACTGTGAAGAAAAACAACAACACCAACAACAACAACAACTCGGAAAAAGAAAACAAAATGATGGAAAGAAAAGAACAGCTACCGCACCGACCGGTCGAGAAAAGAGCCCTCGGAAACCGATCAAAATAAATCAAAACAAAAAAAAAGATAAAAAGGAGGACGCTTCCCACACCCGCCGAAAGAAAAAATCAAAGGGTAACGTACCAGCACCAGGCACTACGCACCAGGGCATGGCAGTAACGGAGCAAACAGGACAAAGAGGCGGTAGATGGGCAGACAGCCAGATAGCAACAGCAAAAGGGAGATCAAGGCACCCAACAAGGCAGAGTAGGCACGGAGGACATGAAAAAAAGAGTATGTAGCGATCCGGGCGATCGGGGAGAAAACGTTGGCGAGTCTTTTCTATTTCATCATACTTCAATGTATGCATACCATGAAATACGGCGGTGATCTGACCAGACGTGCATGTGTAGCAGAAGACTCTGCTGTATAAGCTTGGGAAACGTCACACCGCAGCTGGCAGTCAGCTGTGAGTTGGCCCTGCTGACTGCTTTCATTTTGATCTTGCATCACCCCTTGATGACTCTGCTGTGCTCTCTCGTCAACCTACTCCACAGGGATCACTTGTTTTCGTGCTTTCATGGGCCCACTCCGGATCACTTGTAGACTACAGTCGACCCCACTTTAAGGACGCTCGCGTTAAGGAAACTCCCCGCGTAATGGAAACTTGTTTTGCTGAGCACCGGGGGCCCGGCAGAATATACTATGATGGGGTACCTCCATTTTTTTCTGCCGCATACCCCTCTTTTTGTGTGTCCTGCGGGCCTGCGGGCCGCTCTTTGCACGAACCACGCACCACAGTGAGTGCAGAAGTAGCGACGCACAGACAGCAGAAGTAGCGAGCGGTCTGCTGCTGCAGCTGCAAGTGGGTGTTGGTATCGATGGATTCCTCCCATCTACCGGTGGTCCATCTGATGCCGCCAAAAAAAGAGTCGTGCATAACCTTTTTCCTCACCGAGAGCGAGGTTACCTCTCGCTTGGAGGACGTTCGATCCTACAGGTAGCGCCCGCAATTAAGAAACGTCAAAATCGGTTCGAGCCTCACCAATCCCTTCTTGTGGGTCGAAGTACCGGCCCAAGTCGTCCATTTTCGTAAATGGCATTTCTTCTTCCTGTGGACTGTCGCATCCTCCAGATACTCTTACTCCTCACCAGACTACATNTCTACCGGTGGTCCATCTGATGCCGCCAAAAAAAGAGTCGTGCATAACCTTTTTCCTCACCGAGAGCGAGGTTACCTCTCGCTTGGAGGACGTTCGATCCTACAGGTAGCGCCCGCAATTAAGAAACGTCAAAATCGGTTCGAGCCTCACCAATCCCTTCTTGTGGGTCGAAGTACCGGCCCAAGTCGTCCATTTTCGTAAATGGCATTTCTTCTTCCTGTGGACTGTCGCATCCTCCAGATACTCTTACTCCTCACCAGACTACATCAAGTACTTCGTATTTTCTTTTTTCTGTCTTTTGATCTCTGAGGACAACCCATATCACCAAGCCCTCAAGAGAGGTAGTGGAGAGTGCCATCAAACCCGTACAACAGCGGAGAGCATGTGGTTGTCCGCGATGTATG